ATTTATAGTTTCCAAAACGAAATTCGTTTTCTTTCTCTCATTAAAAACGGAGAAACGTGAATAGGTTAAATAATAAAATTATATTCTAAAACTGAATTCAAACCGACGATTCTAAAAGGTTTAATTACCTTTGGGATCCGATAACTTAATAAAATACGGAGGGAAAAAAAAAAAATCAGGAAGTCTATTCTTTCCTCAGACGGATCTTAATCAATAAAATCTACTTCCTCTGAACATGATTCCTCTACTTCTGTTCATCTTAAATGCAACAATGATACAAATTTGAAAAGAAAGAGACTATTAGTGAATACAACAATAAAGGGGAGGGGGAGAGAAAGCGTATTTCAATAACCCGCAGTGCACAATACTTAATCACGTGAAACCCCCATCCCTGTCGTAGGGAGGGGGATAGACGGGCCGCAGACGGCCCACCCAATCAATGAAGGGCATTGCCTTCTTCCTTGAGAAGAGAACGAGCTTTTTTCAGCAGTTGCTAAGGCCTCCTTTTTTTCTCCATCTTCTTCATCTACTGAACAAGGAAAGAAGAGGTTTCGCGCTTTTGTTTTCAACATGTTTTAACTTATTCAAGGTTAAGATTTTTTATTTGCTCATTTTAATTTCTAACGAGGAAGTTACCCATGGTTTATACACACAAATATTACCTTCGATAAAATAAAAAGATTTGTAGAGAAATGTTATGTTTAGATTGGTAATAAAACTGTTTGTTTTGGAAACAAGTTTTGTATTTCAATTTAAACATTTTACAAATCGTCATTCACTTTCAAACTAAATAAAAATTTTCGCAACTCAAATTTTTAAGTTTCAGCTAATTTGCAAATTTTAATTTGATTTCAAAATTTGTAAGCTTTAATATGAATTCATTCGGCACCACTTTTAATGAAAATTGAATATTCTAATTTTCTAGAAGAGTTTCGTTCTCCTCTTATGTTAGAATAATTTTTCCTTTTCCAATTCATTAATATATTGTCCTAGCAATAAATAAATAAAATACAAATTTTAGAGAAAATATATACATATAAAACTTTTTCAAACTAAATAAAATCTTTTGCAATTCAAATTGAAATCTTCAAAGCTTCAATTGATTTTAAAAATTTTATTTGTTGAAGGTTTTATTTAGAATCAATCAAAATTTGTAAGTTAAAAAAAATGGCAGCACTTTTAATGATAATGGAATACCTTATTTTGTAAGGACAGAAAAATTTCTCTTTTTCTTATCATTTTTCAATATTTCTCAAATATTGTTGATGGCGAAAACTATTACTATTATTCTATGGTTGCAACTGACGCACTACAAGTAATGAAACGACTGCAGCTGCTACTTTTTTTCGGAAGTATGATACTTTTTTTAAAAAAAATTAATATTGTAGTAAGTAATGGAATACAAAAACCGTAAAAATAGTTTGCAACGATTCTTGGCAACAATTTTTAAGGCTAGTTTAGTAAAGAAATAAGGTTAGAATGCTAAGTTTTTTTTTTGCTAATGTGATTAGTGCAAATCTTACTAGAATCCAATACTAGAACATATTTTGCTCCTTAACTCTCAGTGTATATCATTTTTTAAAGGAAATTAAAGAGTTTTACATATTTAAAAAATATATACATATTTTACAATTTTTAAGCATTTTGTGAATTAAATATTTCCTGTCAATAAGACATATGTTAGATTCATTAGTTGGAATAATCTATTCGAAGTGCAAAATGTTTAAATAATTATTTCAACAGGGAGAATAGTAACAATATAATCTTAAATATATTTCCTACATCATTTTCCTCTTTCAATTTCATTTAAATGTTGTCTATAAAGAATATGATTATTATTAGCATTGAAAAATTTATTACATTTCATCCCAAACCTTAAAAACATCAGATTACCAAGTTCATTGCGCACACACTCTCTCTCTCTCTCTATATATATATATATATATATACACACTCTCTCTCTCTCTATATATATATAGGTAATACAATATTTTTTTCATTTTATAACCCCTTTGGATACCAATATTTTGAAAATGAAATAACTACCCGAATTGAATCTCATTAATGCATACATATGTGTTTGCTAAACACTGCTCTTACCATATAATTTTAGAATCTTTAGAGTATATTAACAGTATCAGTAACATATTCATAGTAAAAACAAGATCAGAAATGAATATTTAATTAGAAATCAATAAACAATATACATATAAGCCTTGAATGCAAGTCAAATTATAACTGGTTTTGAAATTTTAAACCTAACTATAAGTGTTTAAACCTTATAATTTCATTGAATAAATAAACGATTTTTTTTCTTAAATTTTATTGTACAAACAACTGTTTTTTTCCCAACTTTAATCTTTTTGTTTTTACCCCTTTTGTATTTAACATAAAAAAATGACATATAAAGGGACTTAAAGAACTTTGTAGTCATTATTGTATATATAATACTAGATGAACGAAATACAAAATCACATTGATATATGAGTATGGAAGTACTCATTTTAATCCGTTAACTGTAAAGCAACTTCGGCAATTTGTAGATAAAATTCCTTGCCATGTAATTCAGTTTCAGAACTGAAATAATGTGCAAAAAAATAACCAGGTTTTACTTCCGTATTTAGTTTAGGATAAATGGTCAAAGAATCAATTCCAGAGAAGAAAAATTTAAAAAAAAAATAATTAAATAAAATAAAGCAAGTTTTTAATATCATCCTTTTTCTTTAAATCATAGATGGTTATAATGATAAACTGCAAGGGTGCTTGAACTGAAAACTTCCTAGTTAATATATGTTCGTTCATGTTGCAGTATTTCAAGAAATTATGCTTGTCACGTTGAACTAACCCTTAAAAAAGAAAATGTCAATTTTATAAATATATGTTACAAAAAATTGCAACAAATAATTTATAAAAATGAGATTAAATCAATAGAAGAAAGTCTTAACAAAACATATTGGAGACATTACTGAGCAAAGAACACTGCTATTTTAATCATTCCATTACTTAACCTAACTATCCATCTATAACTATTTTCATCATCCATTACTAAACGTAAAAGGATTGTTACCAGAAGATTCTGCAGGTAGTGGTAATAACACTTTGTAGAAAAATACAGTTGATTTTATCACTACCAGTAGGAAATTTATCCAAATACAATATTTAAGGCAATGATGTTCATCTTCATTTCCCAATGGTTTTGATCTCAACTTGGAATATAAGGGAACTCCTGCATTGAGTTTTGGAATAAACTCTTATTCCTGGATAACCGTAGAGTAAAATTAATTTAGATTAAGCGGAGGTAAAAAAAACATGAATTCTCACAGGGTACAAGTAATAGCAATGGAATTCTAACCCATGATCTGCCAAGAGCTAGAAACATATTACTTCATTTCCATGCAGACTAGGGGTAGTTGGAAAAAAAAAAACAAGTCAACACAAGACAATTGGGTAGGCAATTTAAGAAGGAGCTTTATCTCTTGGGTCCCTTGATTTGGTTTTCAAAGAATACAAACAGAATAAATCAGAATACTGATAATGCTTACCGCAGAAAAAAAAACTTTCATATACTTTTGTTAGAACAACATTGCCCAACTTAGTGTTATTTAATAGCATTATTACTTTAGTTAATATGAACATCAATAATTAATAAATTTTAGTTTTTTGTGGGGTAAAAAATACTGAAGAACAAATTCACCTTATTACTAAATGAACATGTATGGTAAACTTTCAACATAATAACAAATATGGTATGAACAAACACACCGCAAAAAAGGGGCATGTACTAGCATTTTTTTTTAACTCAGAACTAAAAAGAAAATTCGTTCTTGCAAGATACACTATGCAAACTGCAAACATAATATTTGATCATAACATTTAATTTTACAATACAACTTTTGCACTAAAATAAAAATATTATTTTAAATTATTTATATTAAAGTAAAATTTAGTAACATTTTAAAACAAAATATTTTTAATAGATTTTTAGGAGATACAATCACACATGATTGACCCCCATAGATGTACTTATAAAAAATATTGCGGTCTAAGGTAGAGATTTTGGATATTAAAAGAACTGAGATGTTAAGAACTATTTTTAGTTATAGTTAAGTTTCAAGATAGAAAAAACCTGCAACATACTTACTTTTTTAAGTCTATATGAAAGATATACACAACTTAAAGGTCAAAAATCAAAGTTTAAATATTATAATTATGCTTTAGAATATGAATCATGAAAACATACTGATTTAGTAACTTCATGTTTGTTTTTTTCTCATCAGGAAATGGTAAAACTCTTATTTTTACTTTTTTCTCTCGCTTAAATTAAGTGTGCCATAATCACAGTCCTTGATATTTTAAGAATATTGAATGATTTTCAAAAACTGAAGAAAGAAAACATAAATTAGGGGTCGCAATTAAATAAGGTGTAAACATTTTTTTTCAACCAAAACCAGACAAATCATCAATATGGGAAATAAAACTGAAAAACAAGTGAAAATGAACCTCTGTTGCTTTCATCTAAACAATAGAGCTACTTTTCATACTTCTATTTTTACCTTCAATACTGATTTTGACAATAGCATAGCTGTTAACTTTTATGACTTTGGCTAAAAAAAATTTTATAGCTATAACTATAAAACAGAGTATAAAAGCATTTATTAGCAATTTTTTAACTTTTGTCAGACATTTATACTATAAGGCATAATTTTTAAAGATCTTTCATGTTTTTTAATTCCTTTTGTTATGTCAGATAAATTAATTTCAAACCAAATTTCTTAAACCTAGAGTAATATATTTAAACATAAATTTGTCCCCTTACTAGAAAATATTATTTGTAAAAACTGCCAAATTTGCAAGTTTGATTATGAACTTGCAACCCCATATACATTTTTTAACCTCTTTTCTGACAAAAATTCTATAAATATATTTTAAGGATAATGACAATGGAACACATTGTATGAAGAAGCACAGATGAACAGTAAATAAAATAAAATACAACCTAATTTGCATCAAAACAATTTTTATATTCATATAGAACAATATTACATTACATGATATAAATAATTCACAGCTGACTAATCTGTAACGAGATTTTCCCCAGTGCGACAGTTTCACACGTTGTTTGGCATTTCTAAGGAAATGAACCAATAAAAAAATAGTTTCTTTTGCATAGTTTTCTGCATAGTTTTTTGCATAGTTTGCACAAATTCAAAATCTTAATGAATGGCATTACTCCATTGTGACATACTTTAGATTATTTTTCAACACAATCTATTCTATTCTAAGGACAAGAGTAAATTTTCTCATTACAAGTTGCATTTATTATTGAAAACTAAAAAACAAAGTATACATTTATGAACAAAAACTAAAAAGTTATATAAATCTCATTCAAATAAAACATGAAACTAGCAAGTAAAATCTATTCAATAATCTGTACCTAGATAATTAAAATAATTTCTATCATGCATTAGAGTATGTAACAATATATTTTTTTTAAAAGCAAGTTTTATATTAAACTGTGTTTGTGCACTGCAATAATACCTAAAATGTCTGAACACATAAAAAATGAGGGGAAAAATAACTAATTTTAAAATACAAATTGAAACTAAAATAGGATAAAAATGAACATTGCTAAAACTCTAACAGAGTTCAAATACTAAGAAATGTACATGGACTTTTTCCTCCCAATTAATATATTCTGACACACTATATTCAAATTAAACTTTTCTGAAGACTAACAAAAAATAATAATAACCTGAGTGAGAACTTACAGATTTTACACTAATTTAAACTTAAAACATACATTAAGACAAAAACAAATTAGTGTAAAATGCCATTTGTAAATAGACCAAAACGTTTCTTTGTATCAATATTTTGATATATTAGCTAATAACTAAACTATTCAAATGCTTTTACTTTGGAATCAGAATAAAAGATGTTTGCTTTCGGGATATTCAATGCCTAAGCAATTACTGGGTGAAAATTTTTCAAGATTTCGAAAGGTACATAATACCAAATTTTTAATTAAGATACAATTTTGATTTCTTTCAGGTTTTTATGCATAAAGTAAACTGTGTACACTTATTTCACACTGCATAAAGTTATTTTAAACACTATAGTAACATAAAATACGATTATTAGAACAATTAAACTCTAATACAGCTACTAACATAACTATTCTATAAGGTTATTGGATACTTTCTTTGAATATTATATTATTGTGCTACAGTCAAAATAAACTTTACATAAAAAGTAAAATTTAACATTTTCTATTAGATCCTTGATTTTACCTTATCTGATATCTAAGTGCATATACTCAAAAATGCTTTACTCTTACTTGCTGGTTTTAAAAATATTAAATGCTATACTGACAGAAAAATAAATACGAATTAGAAAAACATCATTAAGACTCTAAAAGATTGCACAGTACATAAGTCAAATTAAAAAACTACAAGTCTAAAAAAACAGTAATATAACTTCACAAAGCACTATTAATAGCTTCCAAGTCAAATGTATGGGAGGAAAAAATTGTAACTCTTTAATAGTAGAGTTTTTTTATAAGTATTAAAATGAATTTTTTTAGACAATAATAGTAACGTTTGTTAAAATCCAAGTTCTATTTTCTATTTAAATTCAATCTTATCATCACAAGATATTGACTTGTTGAATTGATGGCACACAAAATAAGATAAACTAATTAAGCATCCATCTATAAAGGCATAAAACTCTATGGTATATCAAAGTAAAAAAAAAAGCTGCAAAAATTAATTAAATACAATATTTATAAGAGCTAAAAAATAAATAGTACACACAAAATATTAATTTCTGCTATCAGATAAGGAATGTTAGTTTATATATTAGAGGAGCGACTGATCATGGAGTAAGATCAGAGAACTACAAATGTGATACATAATATACAATGTTTACTGCACTAAAGATATTAGCTACTCATAAATCATATTATTAATATTTTAAACATAACACTAAATCTTAACAAACGTTTTTTAAAATAGAAAACATATATAGAGTGGAACCCGGTTTTTTAGGTTATTCATTTCTTACGTTATCCTGCTTCTAAAGTCATTTTCTGCTGGTTCATGAAAATTGCTTCAACCGATAAGGTTAAAATATCCTATATCTTACATTAACCCTTTTATGAAAATCCTAATGTGGTTTTCCTTGCGACAGATCAAATCATTTTTTTTTCCCAAAATGCTCAAAGTTTTTTTCAAATTCAAACCTGTTAGTCCATTTTTCATTGAGGCATGTATCTTCCTTTGTGGAAACCAGAGAGGTGAAAGAAGCAAAATTCAAAAATATAATTAAGAAATGCAACTGCAAAAAATCAATTTGTTTCTTCATCAATGCACTGCTCATTTGGATCTTAAATAAAAAATGTGGAAGTTTAGAGATCATCCAATTGTTCAAAGATCATTACAAGAAACAATTGGTTAGGAAATCTCTTCTTTTTTTCTTTATTCTGGAGATTTGCAGAATGCTTTTAAAACAAAGATAAATGTTCTGGAAGCTCGGAATTTAAAGTGCTCAGTTTGGGAAAAGTTAATAAAAAATCCATAACAAACGGATTTAATAAAGCAGACTTTTCAATATTCAATGAGGACATTAGTCCTTCAAATAAAAGAAAATGGTGTGGCTGAAGGTGAAAATTTTCTGTAAGTTGATGACGCATATATCAACCTCGACAATCTCATCACTTCAGAAATTCCTTAGATAACTGATTTAATGCTTGGTTTGGATGGTAGTGATGATGAAAATGAAAAAAAAACAGAGCACATACCCATAACTAATCAAGCATATAAACTCAGAAACAATTTTTATTTGCAAATGTAAACTAAGAAGCGAATTTGCAAAAATTATTAGTATTGAATAGGCAATCATAGATATTCTATCTAAACACAAAAAACAAATAATGATTACATACTTTTTTCTAGCAGTTCACCTGGCAAGTGTCAATTTTTGAAAAATATGCTTGGAATTTTTTAATTCTGATTTTATGTTTTCCCGCTTTGCGCGTTTTTTTATCGCTGATCTGATGAAAAAAAGTAAAATCAGGGTTTTACTGGATATAGATAATTATAAAAAAGATTTTTGTGCAATACCTTGAAAGTAGCAATCCTATTATATATGGCTAATACAAATGCTTAAAAATCACAGGAAAACTTTCATCACAAATACCCAAAAAATATTCTCAAAGTATTTAATTAGAAAAAGAAAGAAGTATCGCAAAATACTTTCTTAAAGTAATGATTAAGATGAATGTTTTGACTCTATAAAAACCAATTTTTCTAGAAAATATTCTTTTACTTAAGAAAACGTACTGATGTAAGACTAAAACTTTAAAGAAGGGGATAATATACTATCAGGGTCTTACAGAAGCAATATTATTTAATTTAGGATAAATAGTATTATCTATACTTTAATTCAAGATGAAAAATTAACATGATTTACCCTTATATCTTTTTAAAGTAAATAAAAAATATGTATGGTTATATTCCTTCTTAATAAAAAAATTGTATGCACACTTAATAAACATTTCAAAATATATACAAACTTCCTTATTTGTACAAAACATTTACAAGCATATACTATTAACGATATCAATATATTTCATGAATATTTGGGAACATTTGATACATTTGGTATGAAAATAATTAACATATCAACACAACAATTGTGAGAATAAAGGTTTCAATAGAATTTTATACATAGCTAGTAAATGTTTTAAACCGCATCTTTAACTTTGCCTTCCAGCATCTGTTCAATTTCATTTTCCCAATCTGGATCATCTTCATTACCTTCAGCAACTACTTCATATTCTTGTAATTCTTGTTGCATTTCCTTTTCCCAATCATCATCTATAAAACATGATTCACACCTTTAGAATGAGCTTTTTATTTATTTAAACAACATGTTATTTAAACTTCATGCTATTTCAAAACATTTATATACATTTGAAAAGTTTAAAATGATGGCAAGATTAAACAGTTTACAATATATAGTATGTTCAACAATTATACCTAATTTTTACAATCCTTGCCTAAAATAAAGCAAATGAGACAAAAGACTTCAAATTGAGATAAATTATAATAGAAATTTACTACAATAGCACAGATGTATTTAAAAACATTAAAACTAGTGTCATTGTGGGATGAAAGTGACAGGCATTTCTCAGAACTGTTTTTCTGTTTCATCCAAGAATCAAGCTGGTTTTAGTGTTTTTCAGTCTCAGTGCAATTGATCTCAATATAGATTTGTCAGACTCTAATGATGTTTTTGTTTTTATTAAAATATTAGTTTCATTCCTCGCATTTATGGTTTTTGTTTTATTTTTGTGTCAGTTCCCAAATATTAAGAGTGATGTTTAACGAACACTTTATATTGTCGAAGTTTTACAGTAATATCTCAACATTTTAATACATAAGCTTAATATACAAGATAAAGCAAAAGCCTGAAAACTTATAAATAGACTGAGATATGTGCTTCTAATTCAAAAACTGAAATATACTAGTTAAAAAAATGATTCAATAAAGCCAAAACTAACTACCGTATTTTTCGGCGGAAGAGTCGCGGCGCTATCGAAAAAAAGTTGTTTTTTTCCTACATGCGGCGCTTCCGACGAAATACTTTTTAGTAGCAAAAAAATTTGTCAATGAAAGTTTTATTAATTTTCTGAGATAAAGACTATTTAAAAAAATTAATAACGAAGTCGACGAAATATTCGCCCATATCGCGATCTGCAGCAGAACATCGCCAATTCTTAGCAAACTTTTTGGCAGCAGCCTGTAAGAAAATAAATAAACGAAATAATAATTTTAAAAAAACATCGCATAAGGAGAAAATTTAAAAGGTATGCATCTTGTATCCACCCCCAGCTTAAGGAAAAATCGCAAGCTAGAAATCTATTTAGCGCCTTGGCAATTGTAATTTGAGCGAACAGAAAAGGAAGTATAGGACCCTAAATCCGACACTCACGGGACTGACGAAATGCCGAACTTCGGATCTCTTTCGGAAATTCCAATATGGCCCCCAAATATTACTATAATTCAATTCCACTGTTAATTTCAGAAAAACCAATAAATTTAGTCAAGTTTCGATCGTAGATTATGATGGGGTGAATTTAAAACTGGCCCATCTTAAGAGAAATTTTACTAATCAAAATAATAATCTATATAATATAATCAAGAAGAAATAATCAGAATCCTATGAAGAAGAAATAATCGTTTCTTCTTTGGAGCGAGATCATAGTTCTCGTTTTTTCTTTTAGATAACATTTTGTTTTAACAAAAGACGCTTACCTCGCAAGAAAAAAAAAAAGCTAACAGGGAACTACAAAAAAAAAATTTTTTTAACAATTAATGCTAAGAAACTAACAATGAATAACAACGAAAAACAAGCTAAAAACTAATAACGATTAAAAAAAAAACAAGCAAGCAACAATTAACAAGAAAAAATAAAAATCGGCAAAATAAAAAAAAAATTTTATGACTCGAATAAAAAACCGCAAAAGGCATAGAATTCATTTTATTGTCCACATGGTAGTTTCAATGTCAACTGGGTGTGGCCAATTTATGGTCAAACAGAGGAGGGAAATTTAGGGGCTAATCAGTAAAGCACAAGCACAGCTGTCAAGATTGATTGATCAGTTTTTTCCAACTTCCATTTCTTTATTTTGTTCATTGGAAATGCAGGTGTTTTTACTTCTCACTTTATTTTAAACTGCTTTAGAAACAAAAGTTTCCTTTGACACAGATTTATTATTTTTTTTTCAAGCTTCTTTTTTATTTTTAAAAGATAAAATAAAGTAAGTTACTTCAACAGAATAAAATTTCAAATAAAAAGAATATAGCTGATTTTTTTTTGTCTTATCTATATAAATTATTTTATAGTTGTCTAGATCTTCTTATCATACCTTTTAAATAAGTCGTACATTTAAAAATTCAATTTTACAAGAACTATTTGAGCTATTTTGTTCAAATTGTATATTTTGCCACATAAAATTATTTTTCAAGGAAATTATTTTAGGATCAACAAATTTTATAATTGTATGCCAAAATTTTTCAATTCGGTTAAAAAATTCTACAGATTCTTCACAAAAAGTAAAATTAACATTAAGGGATCCAAACTTTAGACCACTCTCCTGACCAAACTATTGGGAGGATATTCTCCAGATTAGGGTTACAGCCTATATTCAGAAGGTCAGAAATCCAAATTCATTGATAAAAGTTATTGTGAGGAACTACGTTTTAGTGTCTGATTTTGCAATTTAAAATATTATCTGTACAAATTAATTAGCATATTTGAGATCAAAAAGAGTTAAAAAATTAATAAAAAAGTATTTTTTCTTTATGTATTCCCTTTTTTATATACACATATGTATTCAGGCAAAGTCCTTTTAATCATTCCATTATTTTAAATATTTTTTTTTCAATTGAAAAAACATTTTACCTTAAATTTCTCATGCTCTCCTTAAAACTTGTATTGATTCCAATTGAAAAAAAATAATGAGTGTTCATTTTATAAAGTAAAGTTATACAAATTATATATATTTATATATTGTATACTGCTTAACATTAAATAATGCTAAGTATTACATTTTCTTACATTACCTACAAGAAAAGGGAAACTCTCTTTTTCACATGCATTAATACAACAAAAAAAATGGTAAGCTTTTATAAGCGTGTGGAGTTGTAAAGTAAGGTATAAGCCCCTGAGGCAAAATTCTTTTGAGCTATCTGTGACAAAATTCTTTCGAGCTATAAATTTTTATTTAATAATAATGTAGGCATTTTGAAATTGTGTAAAAAATTACATATATGGGGTATACCTTCCTTAGTCTTTATTCTTTTGATGAAATTTAGTTATAGTTTGGCTAAATTATGGATAATATCGATTTTACTCTTCAACGCTGGGAAAATTATACTGTCAGCATAAACCAAGTTTAAAAAAAAGTGCTAAATGACACATTCTAGACAGCTAAATTTTGTTGTAAAATGAAAAATTACACAGCCAGGCAATCAAAGAAACCTGGTTAAACGATGTTATAAGTTTGAACTAAGCACCAAAAAAAACATATAATTCATTATCAGAAATGTTGTTCCAGACATACTTACAAATTGTCTTAAATGATTAAATCAAAAAACACTGTCTTATTTAATGTTTAAATTTTTTGCTCTTGTTGGAACACTTTATTTTTTAATGTAGAATCATTCACACAGGAAATCAAAAAAGTGAGATACCCTTGCTAGATTTGTCTGTAACACCCAGCATCTTCATTCCTTGTTTGATGTCTTCAGCTGATACTTTGCTAGATTGAAAGGAATCACTAACAAACTCATGGTTTGGACTATCAGTTGCATCAGAATCAGCTCCACCACCAGCATCAGCAGTAGTTTTGTCCATACCAGCTAAAAAAGATAGCATATTTAAAGACAAACCAACCAGCATGTTTCTTTATCAAAATTTAAAGTATCTTATTGTGACATGAACTAACAAAACTCATACCAAAACATTTCTCACCAATGTTATTTATTAACTGTATTAAAATATGTGTGCAATACAAAAAGTACAAATTCAGATGTTTTCCAAAATGTATACTTTTGCAATTGCTTAAACCCCATAAACATAACGGTTAGAGAGAAACAAGGACTGTGAGTAAAAAGCTGTCTGTATCAGTATGTCTGATATTTTACTATAAAAGTGTACACTTAGCAAAGAAACTAAAAAAGGGATCACCCAGAATAACTTTTGATCTAATGATCGGATCTTCAAGTTCAATCACTCAATCTTTATATTTCGAAGGAGTGACCTCATATAGGCTAATTAAAAAGTGCAGACAATATTCTCAGTTACAAAATAAGACACAGAAATTTACTTTCTTTGAATAAACATACCTTTTTTAAAACGGATTCGGATTTCTGACCCCCAAAATATAGCAGATAGCCATAATATGGCAAAAATGGTCCCTATAGTTTTTTCAGGAAAGCGATACAAAGTTGAAACCCTTAATGCTAATTTTACTTTTTGCATATTTCACCATATCTGAAGCATTTTTTAAGCGGATTAGAAAAATTTTGCACACTTCCATGCAAAAAATACATTTTAATAAATATTTTTAATTTTTTATTAATTTATTTAATAATAGTTGGAAAAAAGTTTGAATTGTAAGATATACATTTTAAAGTATCTAATTTTACTTGGCAAAATATAAAATTTGATCGAAATCAGTTAAATAGTTCCTCAGAAATTGAATTTTAAATATATGACTTTTATAAAATTCGATTTCTCAGGAACTGATCAACCGATTTCGCGCAATGTTTGCATTTTGCCCTGAAAAATGAGATACTTTCAAATGATGTAAAAAATTGCAATTATTAAAATGATAATAAAAAATTGCAAAAACAACAATTTAAATTTCTTTCATCTATTATTAAATAAAATAATAAAAAATAATAAATATTTACTAAAATTCAGTTTTTGCTTGGAATTATCTTTGGACAAACAAATTTTATAATTGCCTGCAAAAATATTTTAATTTGCTTAAAAAGTGCTTAAGATAATGGCAAAATATGTAAAAAGCAAAATTAACACTAAGGGGTTCAAACTTTGGAACACTCTCCTCACAAAACTATTGCAAACATATTTCCTAGATTGTGCAGCTACCCCTTATAGTTTGGGAGTCAGAAATCTGAAGTCATTGGAAGAAAGGTATGTTTATTCAGAGAAAGTATGTTTTTGCGTCTGATAGTGAATATCATCTGCACTTATTAATTAGCATATTTGAGGTCACCCTGATAAACTACTAAGATTGAATCCTAGAATGTAAAGATTCGATCATAAGATCAAAAGTTACTTATGATGGTCCGTTGTTTATTTTTGTACACTGTACACCTGTAAAATCAGTACTATTATGATATTTAAATTAAATATGAAGCAGCATTGAAAACCTGGGACAGGGTAATTTATTGCTACTTCTGTTCCTGGAGCAAAATATGTCCCCTTAAAGTTTTAATTTATTAACTTTTAAATAATAAAACTTTGTAGTTCATGGTGGATTTGTCTCACAACAGTTAAGCTACCCACCTGAGAGATCAGTCAATTGACTTATATTTCTAAATTTCTGATCTAAAATGATTTATAATTATTTAATATGTTTTATTCAATACATAAATTATTACTGTTTTTATTTAAAAAAAATTTCAAAACTTTAACTCTTAAAAACAAAAACTCATAGATGCTTTATTATTTTTATTTTTTAACAAAGATGTATAAATTATTATAAAAAATTGTATTTAAATTTTTTTTATTGATTTAACTGAATTTTTTCATTTTGCAATAAATATTTTAAATTTTTATTAAATAAAATTATTAAAATGTAAGCAAAATTACAATATAATTCTTGTTAAGAAATTTATATTTTTGAATTTATGATTTTGAATTGTTTTGTATTGAGTTTGAATTGTATTCCAACTCTTTTCAATTAAATTATCTTCTTTTTTAGTGATAAATAGTTCCTTTCTATTTATCTCGTTTTTCTATCTTTTTTTAAACAAAAACTATACAGCAATTTTGTTTATATTTTCAAAATTAAATTCCGCAAAATATGTTGCAAAATAAAGATGCAAAATAAAAGGAATTCAGCATTAAAAGAATTAAATTACTAAATTAAAATCAATTATCTTCAATAACTCATATATTTTAAGTAAAAATAATAAAACAATAAAAAAAAATTCTTGTTTTTTAATGTTTAAATTCTGCAAAAAAATTTCTTTAAAATAAAAAATTATTTAGATATAGAATAAAAATACTGAATTCGCTCATTCCTAGTGTATAAGTTGAACCCCCTAGTTTTGATTACGAGATAGCAGATTTTTGGTCTACCGCTGAAAAAAACTAAATATATGTCATATGACACATATTCTAAAATTTAAAAAAAAAAAATTATTAAGTCTACAACTTTGTCTCAAGTTGAATATATTTAACTTCAAAAATGCTTTAAAATAACAGGAAAATTCTGTGCTGCCCTTATAGACGTCATATGTGAAACTGTCATATGACACTAGATGCATTTCAAAATGTGGATTGAATCTAAATGCCAGTGTAAAATCTTTTAAAAAACTCAGGAATTTTGAATTCTTTTATTGGGGTTGAAGCCGTTTTTTTTTTTTTTTTTTTTTTTTTTTTTTTTTTTTTTTTTTTGGACAGAGTAGATAAGGATGATGTAGTATCCTCATGATGAGGTAAAGAGAAGAATTTGTTGCTTTAGGGTGCATTTTTAAAGTTTCCATTGCATTATATTTTTTGAAACACTCCACTGAATATAAATTATCTTAATACTGAAAATAAATTACCTTAACTTTTCCTTTTAATTTTCTTCTGAACAAAATTTAAAGTTTTATTTTGAAAAGAAACTTTATATGTAAAGAAAATTTGAAAAGAGAACAAAGCAAAATTAATTGTATCTGACAAATAAAAAATAGTTTTTGAAATAGTTAAATTTAGATTGAATTATTTATATTGATCTTATGGTTTATAACATGTAAGAAACTTTATATGTAAAACAAATTTGAGGGAATAAAGCAAAATTAATTGTATCTAACATATTAAAAATAGTATTTGAAAGAGTTAAATCTATGTAGAATTGTTTATATCTATCTTAAAGCTTATTATGGATCAATATTTCCCAAACAATTAATGTCCAACTTTATTACCAATGTATAAGTCGATCCTCTAAATTTTGTAAAATTTTAAGAGTTTGAAAAGTTGCCTTATACACTGATATATACAGTAGTTATCAATCTTGTTAGATCTGAAATGTAGAAACAAAATTTAAAGCCTCAACTAGGATTTGAACCCCTAATCTCTCAGTTAGAAAACAAATAGCTTAACTATTGTGCCACAAAACCTAAAATGTTTAATTATTCAATAAGAAAATGGACTAAAACTTTAAGAAGGCATATTTTACCCAAGGGGCAGCAGAAGCGACAAATATTTCCCCTTTCCAAGATTCTCAAGCATGCTCTTTAATTTACGCTTAATTTCAATTGGATACAGATTTTATGTATACTTCCATTGTAAGTACTTTGAAGTACCTTTTATTAAATCCGAAGTTCTACAATCCGGAAATTTTTAAAATTCGTCAGAAAAAATTTTCTAAATCTATTTTCAAAAAAAAAAAAAAAAGAAGAATGAAACGATTTAAATAAAAATTTTAATTTAAAAGTGCAAAACCACAACTTTTCTTGAACAAGAAAGCAATGGATGAAGAGGTGGGGTGGGAAGTGACTGAAAGCACTTGGCTGATAAGGAAATTCCAGTCATTCTTATCAGTGCTTTATGGATAAGGCATGCAGGAGGAGGAATTCTTCTACCGCCTTTTTTTTCTTCTATGTAAAGAAAGAAAACTGGTTCAATCTTAACCTTGAAGCTTAGGAGGCAGAGCAAATTCTTTCATATCCCAGCCTTGACAACAAGAAAATATTTAGGATCAGCTGTTACAGTCGAATACAATTCCAGTATGGAAACATCTGTTTTAGTTTTTAATTTGATCATTTTAAATTCAGCTTGAGTTTTAAGCCCATATTAGTTTTAATTGCTAACATCATACTACCTAAACGATCAATTAAGTGGAAAATTATGACAGTTCAAAGAAGAGGAAGCATAATTCACTTACAATTTTAAAAAAAGTAGAACTACCGTGGAAATATGACTCAGGAACTTCAGTGGCTAATCTTTGAATAGAATACGAGCTCGACAAATCCACTGTTTATGATTTAATTAAACAAAATGAAATAGTACTGCAGTTTTTAGCAAAAAGTGATGTACCTTTAGAGATAGACAAAGGAAAAACATTATGCAAATCTAACAGCGAAGATTTGGATAGTATAATGATGGAATGGGTGAAGCAAAGAAAAGTGAGAAAGTGTCTCTGACTGGCGCAATTATTATGGCACAGGCAAGGCTTTACCACAGACTTAAAAATAGAAACCCCTTGTTAATTTTCTTCAGGATAGTAAGATATATTTAAAAAATCTATGTAACGTCTTTTTTATGTATAACCTGGAAATTGTCTTTATTTAAGTTTATGTTTGTTAAATGAACTAACCATCATTATTAAGCTACACGAACATGAACAATATAAAGGAGAGGCTAACTGTGTTGGTGTGGGCTAATGCTTCCAGGTCTGATCACCTCATGCTGATGGTAATCAGCAAAAGTGCTAGATCTCTACCATTGAAAAACATTCAAAGTCTACTTGTTGCATACAAAGCAAACAAACATGCATGAATTAGGCAAGAATTTATGGAAGAGTGGTTTAACGATCATTTTGATCCGAAAGCTCGAGCTCGCTGAAATGCTGTTGGGCTTCCGACTGAAGCAAAAATTACCCTTTATAGATAATTGTACA